AAGTGCGTCGCACTGGTACTTTCGCGGTGGTGGGGTAACGTGATGCCGACGAAAGTTTCAGTGCAGTCGCAGACCCGGGGGGTGAGTAATGGTTGCCGAGGGTATGCAGGTGGCGCCAGTTAACTTCGAAGAATCACGACGGAGCGTCGAGCGGAGAGGGGGGACAATCGGGAGGCAGCGGGGGTCGTCAAATCAGGAGCGCAATTCGGAAAGTCTGCGTGAACCGAGTCTTCTTCAACGTAAGAGCCGAGTCCGCGGTGGAGTTAAGAGCAGGCTTTCATGGAATGAGCGTGTTTACTGCGTGGAGCGAGACGCACGCAGATGGAGGCCGCACCGTCCACACATCCGAGCTCTCCTGCTCTTTGTTTACGAAACTTTCAGCTCATTGGATTGGGCGAAAGGCTTTTAGGCTCCTTTCTGAGGCTTAAAGATGGAGTTTGGGGGGCACAGAAGGGGGCTTATAGCCTTTAACAGCTCCATATAGTTGAGAAGGCACGAGAGTTAATCCATTTCATGGTGGCATGCCTTTGAACTATGCAATGTCTCTAGTTGTCGATGGCCTTGGGGCTGGGTCGCAGGAGTCCGGCATTTTAAAATAGGACGTCTTGTTTTTTTGGAGCGTTCCCCCATGAAAAATAGCCTTTGTGAAAGGCGTTTCTTTCTTGAGAAAACAGGAAGGGCAGGGGTATTTTCATGTACGTTTGTGATCCCGCGTAGCCAAACATTTTCTCAAAGATGGCTCGACATTGCTTGGTTCCTGAAAATCTGATGGCGAAGGCCAGAAGGCGAAGGAATTCCCATGATGATTTGTTGAATTCTAACGCAGGAGCTGCCCCACCCTCCAGCTCTGAAGTTTTGAGGATTAAATGATACACTCAGTGTAAGCATGCGGTCGAGTTTTCGTCCAAACGGTGCTAGAACATTTAACTTGAATAGAAATAGCTTTCAAGTCCTATGAGAGTCCCGCATTCCTTTGGCTGCCTAGTATGGTAGTAAAGATCCGGGTGATGCTCATTCTCTATCCTATGGGCATGTTTAGGGATTCGTATTTCCCCTTTGAAAAATCCTTACCTTCGAAAATCTGGAAGCTTTCGAAGCAGATGAAATCATACATGATAGGAACAGAGCATCTGAATAAGGACGTTTGGAAATTTTGAGTGGTAGCCAGATAATTTGATGGTTTTTAAAAAAAATCAACCCACACTTTACACGTATCATGGCCATCTCATTAAAAGGGCTCAGTTGTCTTTCTGTCCCAGGCACAGTCTTGTCCCTACTGTCAGAGGAACGTAGGTACGAAAGATCACAGTTTAAAGGACTTGGAGTTTTATTACCAGAAGAGCCCAGAATAAGAAGTCTGGAAATGTCCTAAAAAGCAAATCAGAGTGTAGCGCTCCGGAGGAAAATAGCAAAAAAAAAAAAAAAGGTATTTTTCAGGACGGCTGGGGTGTGTGTGGGTCAGGATTTGAAGCTTAAAGGGATACCTGTCTGATTTGTTAGAAGGATTAGAAAAGTCCTATCTAAAGAAATAGGATAATAAGGTTGAATGGGAGAACTTTAAAAACATACTAAGTGAAAGAAATCAAGTCACAAAAAATCACACATTGTATGATTCCATTTATACGAGGTCTGGAATAAGCAAATCCATAGACAGCAGATTAGTAATGGGAAGCGGCTGGTCATGGGTACACGGTTTCTTTTAGGGGTGATAAAAATATTCAAAACTTAGATTTCAGTGATTGTTGCACATCTCTGAATATATGTGTGTGTGCATATATATATATATATATATAAACCAATTGAATTGTACAGTTTAAATTAGTGACTTTTATGGAATGTGAATTATATCCAATAAATCGTTTTTTTTTTTTTTGGAAGAAATATGCTAAGGTTGAAAAGAATGCATTCTGTTACTTTGAACATAGAAGTTAGGCTAAAATTATTAAGTAAATTCATCCGGCAGGATGGCATGTCTGTCTGTCTGTCTGTCTGTCTCATTTATGGAGTTTTCCAGATTCATGAACTACAGCAATACAGCACACTGAAAATTAAAGTTAAAAAGTGATAGTTAAATAATCTGATGCCTTTTAAAAATTACATGCGTTTTAAACATACTGTGGTCATTTCATTTACAGGATTCAGTCATAGGAGAAATAAACAAAAAGGCAAAAAGAACCTTGGTTATACATAGTTTGAGTTAAGGATCGAGGGGCTGGATTTAAAAAAAAAAAAAAAAAAGCACAAATGCGAGCGAAAGTCAGATTGGTGACAGTAAAATCCTGAGCTGAATCTGAAACACTGTTGGTCTTTCCAGGATTAGAGTTCAGGGGCTGAGTCTGCGTGGCTTTTTGTATTTCCAGTTTCTTCCATATGTTTTCCAACAAAGAAATAATGTAGTGTTTTAAGATGGTGAAGAATTTCCACTCTCTTTTTTGATGTTTCATGCTAATGACCCTGGTTGTAAAGACAGGATGAACTGTTCATTTTAATGTACTCGGGGTTTTTTTTTTTTTTTCCCCTTTGTTGCTTATTTTATTTCTTACATAGCTTTGGAATCTGAGCAGGAAAAAGAATCTTCGTAGCATACAGTAGCTATTTTAGGCATACGGTAATTTAAATTTCGTATGCAACAAAAGATTTTATAATGTAACAGAGGTTTTTTTTTGTTTGTTTTTAAACTGTTACATTTTATCCAAATTTACCTCTGGCCTTTTAATAGGAAAAGACCTAGAGAATACTTGTTGTTTACATTTGTTTTTGGTCTTTGTCTAAGGTTTAGTTTACTAATAACAGTGTTTCCTATCCTTATTGTTGCAAGGTCAGACCAATAATGAAAATCAACTGTATCATTTTTACTTGTTGCTTGAGAGTTTTGCCAAGGAGATCCCATAGGGACGGTAGCTTCCTTTGAAATCTGGTTTCATTGGTTTTGTAAGAATGTGCTGGTAAGAAGCAACTGAATCCAGCCAGCACTTATTGGGTACCTGCTGTATGGACACTGGACTCTGTGCTAGGTAATTCCTGAGCCTACACAAGAAAGAGGACTTTGCTTTTGTCCTTGGGGTATTTTATATACTCCCGCGTGAAACAAAGTTGCTTGAAAATTCAGCTCTTTTTCTGACTCAGCACATGATACATAGTTTTCAAATAGACAGCAAACAATGTCTTAAAGGCCCTTTAAAAACAGTTCTGTAGACTTGAGATAATGAAGTAAACCAGTGTTCTTCCGAAGGCCTGAGCTGCAGTGCACCCTTTTTGCCTTATTAATGCCATCTCTGTTGCAGGGTCACTGTAGGCCGTGACATTAGAGGGGACACATTCACCCACTGTGATTGGCTGCCCTGCCTTCTTTCTAACATTGGCCATGACAGTTGTGATGGAAAATCTTCACTACTGTAGTTACCTTTTGCCCAAACTCCAGGAGTTACAGGTGTGTACAGGAGTGTCGTGTGGCACGTTTCGAGTTGCAGACCTCTTTTGGATTGTCACATTGCTCGGGTGGCTTTCTTGAAGGCGTTAGGAAACTTAACAATTCTGAACATAATTTAAAATCACTTGTTGCTTTTGAAAGCATGCGAGGATAAGAATAGAGAGGCAATTTCTTGAGAACTTTCTTAATCGTAAAATGTACAAGTCACGTTTCTCTCTGGGTTGTGATCCTCTTTGTTTTCAAAACTC